CTGATTTTGTCTAACACTAGCAGGATAAAAAGGTAATACGTTCTATAATCTATTGAAATTATTTGTAATACCCATAACAAACTAAATTTGGACAAATGTATAGGAAACACCTTGTCTGTTTGCCTTTACAATCCCGTCCCAGCCCAGCCCCCAACCCAGGCTCATCCCTGGCAGGTCTCTCACCTCTCAGTTCTGGGCCATGGCACGGCACCAAATGTAATGTGAGAGGGGAAAAATGCAGCGGACCAGATCGGGATTTGAACCCGGACCCCTTGAAACTCCGGACAGGTGCTCTACTTACAGAGCTATCCGGGCACCGGCGACCGAACTCGGCTGACCTCCACATTCCTCTCTCCTTAAAGGTCTTTGGTCCCTGAAAGACACCAACCCAGACTCATCCCTGGCAGGTCTCTCATCTCTCAGTTCCAGGCCATGGCATGGCACCATATGTAATGGGAGAGGAGAAAAACGCAGAGAACCAGATTGGGATTTGAACCTGGGCCCCCGGAATCTCCGGTCAGGTGCTCTACCAATTGAGCTACCTGGCCACCGGTGATCGAACCCAGCTGACCGCCACATTTGTCACAAAGATTTCATATGACTTGGTGTTGTACCATATTTTGGACACAGACAGAAAATATCTTGAATTTTTCTTCTATCACGAAATGTGTAAAGGAGAAGTTCAAACTTGATATATAGATTACAGAAGCCTAGTGTTTTGCCTCAAGGTCATTTAGACAAGGTCACTGACAGAAACTGAAAAATTAAGTACTGTCCATCATTTTGTCATGGAAAGAGATCATACTTAAATTGAAGATTACTTATGATTTGAAGGAGCATCATGACCTTGACTCAGGTATTTCTTCAAATTCAAGGTCACATTTCTGTAAAGTAAACATTGGAAAACAAAAGTGAAGAAAAAAAATGACATGTTTATTACAATTATTAACAATGAAGTGGTAAAATTTTCTTTTTGAATAAAATTTTGAGAATTTTGCAACCATGTTGCATATACGGTAATGATTACAATTTCTTCAGAAAGAGAGAGAAAAAAAAGTCAAATGGTTTATTCCAAAGACCTGTAGAAGAGGTATAGCATAAATACACAAAACAATCAGATTGGCAGTTTACATAACCAACAAGTAAACAATGTATGTGTGGTGATATCTTACATATACATTATAAATTAATTATTATGCACATATTGGTTGCAATTCCTGAGTTTTATGGAGAATTTTGTGGGAGATAAGAATTCATACCACATTGCACAAAATCCATGAAAAATTACAGTTATTACACCCTCATGAACACAATTCAATTTTACAGTGTAATTCTGACAGAATTTACAGTCCTGTAGTTCTTAAACCAGTCAAACCTTGATATCATGAACTTGATTGAACAAAGACATAACCTTGAGATATCCATTGTTTTTACCGGTATATATCAAGTGTTAAATACTTTTAAAATACTGTATACAGGGTTATTTTCGCCCAATGTTATTTTCTCCCTTTTTCACTTGCTAACGAATTTGCCCCATTTTACATTCGCCGCCCAGTCACAGTTCTGTTAAAGAAATTATACAGTGTTTGAATTCGCCCCATTTTAAATTCGCCCAGTTGTGTCAAGGATGAAAGGGACGAAAATATTGCGGGGACGGAAATTTTCACTGTTTATGGTAGGTGGTTGGGATTTCCAATTCAGTTCCACATATTCATCCTAGAGATATCAGTGTTTGAGATGCCAAAGTTTAACTCTATTCAAAATTTTAAAAAAAATCTTTGATATGTTTTGTAGTTTCAAAAATTTTAAAGAAAGGAATATATACAGGGAAATGGTGGTTGATTGAATTTAATATGATATGGATCAATAAAATATCTGAGGATATTGCAGAGTAGTAACAAAGCTTACTCAAATATTTATGAACATAATTCTCAATTTTACAATTATGATACAAACTTATCTGGATATTGCAGTGTGTATATAACAAATGCTTGATTAGACCTGGATTTGGAGTGCCTTTGAATGGATACGGGGTTAAGATCAATCTGAATCTATAGTCTCTACAGAATGTATAGGGGGTGAACACACGGAACTGTTGGCCAATTTTGCTCCTTTCCATTCACAAGCTGACATTGGAAACTCACAGAGGATGAGAAAAAATGAATGCAAAATGTTGTGTTATTAAAGAATATTGATTTTTGGAGAAGCCTGCTGTTTGATTTGGAAGCAGGATTGAGCCGGGGTAAGGGTTAGGTAAACGCAATGTAATTGATGTGAAGTTTTACATGATCATGTCGGCAATAAATTAGTAGAAATGAGCGATTACTTGCAATCAATGACAAGAGTGATGAAAACAGGAATGATTTCATCTCCTGGGCTTTAATTGTTAATGATAGGCACTTCTAGGAATGCAAAATTAATACAAATGTATGTACTCTTGTATGATGATCAGCCAACATCACGATCATTTTGCAGAAATCATTTGCATTTTCTTGGGGGGGTTGGTTGGTTGGAAGCAGTGTATATGACTTGTGCTATGATAAGTGCTGCCAGAAATGGTATTCAAAATGTGTAATTTGCATAGGTAAATCAATTAGCAATTACACGTTAAGTAAAATTTAGTTGGTAGGTGGGGAATTTTTTTTCCTAGAAAATTTCAAAATTGATGCTGAATTTTCAAAATAAAGAATTAAAGGTAATTATAGTAAGATTCTTTTTTTTTTTTGTAAGAGCAAATCATTATTCTAGGGCTCTGTATCTCTAGTTTAACTTTTTGTTTGTAGATAGGATCTATTTGTTTTTATGCAGAAAAAATACAATTAACACTCCATGATTTAAGCAGTATACTTATATAAATGTAGGTCAGTAGAGAACAATTTAGTTATACCTGCTGGCGGTGAACACCACCCATCTCTGGTCATTTGTACCAAGTTTTAATATAGCAGCTGGACTGGTGCCAATAATGGACAGGGGGGTCCAGCATACAGTGATCATCTGTTGAATTCGTCATCATACAATTTCTGTATCTGAGGCTATATAAATATAATAACGAGAAAGCTTTCTTGTAATCACGTTAAAGTGTGTACTCAAGATGTTGGAATCAGGGGAACTCCATTTGTTTATATTGCAGTTTTACAGGGGAAGACAGATAAAAATGATGCTCTATTGATGTCTTTACAATTGACATGAGTTAAGCAGTTTATAATGTAATTAGTGAATGCTTAAAACTTCTTTGTCAGTTGTGGAGATGCTTGTATGCTGCGTAGAATTGATGGGATGCCAAATTATCTCTTCAAGTCACTTGCTGCTTATGTTAGGAGCAAAAGTTGACACTCTCTGAGAAATCTAGACATGATTGGAAATATGCGACAAGGTTTGCTTCCCGTTTAAGTTTCCAGTAAGAAACTAGAGTAGAATGGTTGCAAAGTCTAAAAGGTATAATGACGGTGTTTTTATCGCTAATTGGGAAAAATTCAATCATTTTCATCAGAACTAGCTGTGTTTATGAGAATTTCTGAGTTAACCTACATGCCCCTATGAATTGGAGATGTAATATTTTGTAATTCAATTGCAAGAGATAAATTTTTTATGTTGGCAAGAAATGAACTTTTAATTTTTTTGCTGCATACAGTCAGCATAATATGGGGAATTCCCAAATCAATGATAAAAGTTATTAAAATGTCATGTAATTAATAAAGCATTTTTTTAATGAACACAATAATAGTTTATTGATATTTTGTATTAAAAGTGTTGCTATCACTTACAACAAAGCATACAAGTTTTCTTTGTTTGAATTGATTATATGATGTAACTGTTCAGGATGCGTAGAGAGCTGTGACTATAAATTATATGCACTTGATGTAGGACGAGTTTTAGAAGCAGTGGTGTAATATTTTTATTCAATTAAATCCTAGATGGTGTGGATGACTTAGAGCTGGCTAGGTCACTAATCTGCTGGTTTGTTTAACTCAAAAGTATTTTTTCTAGAAATGATATTTCTGCTAAAATATTCTTGGACTTCATTAAAATTCCCACTACCATTGACTTATTGATCATCCAAGATACTCTGCACTGTTAGAGGGGGTGCTTGATCGCTGGCTTTCATATTTAATACTGAAACTTTTCTTGATTTTATTGACTTTTGTGTCATTAGTCTTATAGATATACCTTTGGATCATTAGTATTTCTAGTATGCAGGGGTGGATTCAGATATTAAGGAGGGCCAGATTCAATGAACATTACTGCCAGCTTGGGTGTGAGGAATATTTCGGGAAATTTTTGAAGGATGTTAAATGGCATTTGCAGTTATTTTATGTATTTTTCTTCAGTAACACATATGAACAACGAATGATTTATGGAATTCTGTGATACATTAAAGTAAAATAAAATCGTTTTTTCAAACCTATTTTTAGTTTCATGCAAGGGAAAAATGGCTTAATGATAAATCTATACATGTATACATTGTCATGTTAGTTTATTTACTTTTCAGTATTAGGTGTTATAAATTGGTAGCTTCTATGACAGTGTAGAAACCTAATGAGATAGGTTTAACCAATTCACTACAGGGAAGTTTATCCTTAATGCTTTGTCAGTATTCTCTTAGTATTTATACAGTGTGAAGGCCGTCTGCTGTATGAAAAGTCAAGAGAAGGCGTGCAAAGAAACTACAAGTATTATCAATATGTTAGTGTAAAAAGATCAGATAATGCAGCTTCCATTGAATCCTTACAGAGCTGTTTGAATTGTACTTCTGTCACTTTAGAAGCTCTGCTTCCTATCAGAGGCTGGTTGTTGTAGTGGGACACAGTATCTAGTTCTTCACACTGAGAGAGACCAGAAATGTCAAATCAGGCATCGTTTTACGTAATTCATAAATACCAATCATTATGTGTTTTATACCATACTCTATAGGATGTTTGATTCAGTACATATTTGTGTTGTCTTGTGTATGATTTTTAGAATTGATCGATGCATAAAATTTGCTGTGTTTTTATTTTCAGATTAAAAAGTTTGAGAAATTAGAGACAGATGAAGAAAGAATAAAGCTTGGAAAAGAAATCTATGACCAATTTATAATGAAAGAATTATTGTCTCAGTCCCATGTAAGTCTTGGGGAATTGCTTTTAAACTTAAGTTGTAAAGAATTTGAGTGCTTAAGGTTTACTTTTGGCCGGAATGACACATGTTTGCATAAGGGATGGGATTGATTTAATGTCCAACCAATCATTCACTCTCTCAGACACTGTCAATGATCAAATGGATCCTATGTATATTTAACACTATAATATTAGTACCATGGACAGTACTCAAACTATCTGTATAATGTAAGATTTAGATGCCAATGAAATTAAAATGAGATATCTATTTATGACAAAATAGATTTTTTTCATCTAATTGCTTTGGCATGGCCTTTTTCTCATATTTAAGATAGAAATAATTATTAATAAGTTAAACCCAAAATTTTTAAAAGTTTGAAGTGATTGGATGAAAACTTTTGCAACATCTGAGCACGTAAAATCTATGTTTACATCATTTTGGAATTTCTGTTCTAAAAATGAAGTCTCTTGGTTAATCACTTCTTCATTGTCAATGTAACAAACCAATTTAAAAAAAATATCTATAAAAATGATATGAGTAAAGTCCTAGTGAAATACACAACTGTCATTAAATTTGACAATTCTAAAATTCCTTTAGTGCATGATTCCATATATTTTTGAAATTTCAAAACAAATCCCAAAATGTGCTATTCATACAACAAAATGTCACTTAATTTGACATGAATGTAGACATAAATTGCATGTAGTTTCAAATAAAAGGACCTCATTGAAAATTAAAAAAAAAAAAAGAAACATTCCATTCTATCTGTGTATATTCATGGTTGCAACATTTACCATGCACCTGGATCTGATAATTTTTTTTTTGCCTGATGTACTATGCAGTCAGGTTTGTTCAGGTGTGGTAGTTCTTGTGGGAAATTTCATAATCTGCCAATAAAAAATGCATATTTAATTCTATCTGATTGATTTAACATGAAAAAAGGAATATATGTAGTGTAGAAAATGAGGCTGTCACAAACTGGTAATTCCAGAAATTTTCAGCAAATCAATGTTGGGTTTTACATTCTGCCTGATAGAATAATCACTACTTTCATCAATAAATTTCAATTGAATAACTCCATAAGTAATACATGGGTAGAAGATAGAGGAAAATTTGTTTAAAATTAAATCAAAGTTCAAGGTCAAATGGTCAAGCTTTTGGTTTTGTTTGTAAGAACTTTATGTGATGATATAACAAGTAAATTATTAAAAGACTTTTTTACACTGGTAGAGAATAAGAAAAGACACCCTTGGATATAAATGTCACTTTGAGTTTATCAAAGGTCAAGGTGAAAATTCAAATTCCAGACATTTGACTACATTTTTAGAAAAAATAATAGCTAAATAACTTGTAAACTTACCAGTAGGTCTTTATATTACTACACAGTGAAGAGAGAGAGAGAGGCAAAGGTTGGGGATCAGTCTAACTCAAGAGTCAAAACATTGGGGGAGTGGGGGTGGGGGTGGGGGGTTAGAGACTGTATCTTATGTCCACCTATCTGTATACCTTAATGATAAAACATTGAATTTTGATACTTTGTTGTAAAGTAGTTCATTTTATTTGTGCTTATAAGATTCCAAGCTTTAACATATTTATCACTTAATAACATTTAGATACATGTACTAGTAGCAGGTTGTGTTTTGATTGAAGTGAACATGAAGTCCTACACTTTTATTCTGGTTTCGGGTTTTAATATTTGCAGTTTAATTCATTTCTCTTTAGTGTGACCTGTAATAACATGAAATTAACACAGCTTTATTCAAAGATGCATGAAATTATTCCGCCAGATTAAGAAAGTATGGAATTATGTGAATGTTAATCCTGCTTCCTGTCCTGTTGGACTAAGCTTATAATTATACAGACTAGACCCCACTAATGATTACCTCCCTTTATATTAGCTGCCATGTTTAGTCACATGTCCTTGCTTGCTGACCTTTGACCTTTGTGTTGGTGTTGTTGTCTGACTCTGTGTTTTGTTTTGACTTGTGTAGACTTTTCTGCAGACATACTCTAAGGCAGCCGTGGAGTCCGTACAGGAATCTCTCACCGCCGCCCAAAGAACCAAAAAATTAGCACCAAATATTTTTGAGGTATTTTACTTTTTCATACTGTCAAGGAAAATAAAAGTTCACATGAAGTAGTTAATAAATTGGCATAATTAGCTGATTGATCATGTTGATAAGGTGATAATTGGAGAATTACTCTATTATCATAATCATTTTTGATTTGTATGCACTTGTGTGCCAATGTTTCCCTCTTTTTCAGCCCTACATAGAGGAAATATGTAATTCACTACGAGGAGATATATTTGACAAATTTTTAGAAAGGTTAGTATGAGAACTTTTAAAATACTCCAAAATGACACACATCTTTAGCATATAAGACATTTAGGCAGTGCTTAGATAAGCAATTTGCCTTCTATTGAGAATTGATGAAGGTATAATAAACATGATATCTTGTATGTTACACAAGACGATAAAACTTGAAAAATGATATTCCGTGAAATTTGTCTAATCCAGCCACCACTGGTTCCAAAGAAATTGGTCAGAATAGACAACATTCTGGATTAACAGCATTTAAGATTAGACAACATTTTAGTCAGATTAGACAACATTTTAGTCAGATTAGACAACATTCTGGATCAACAACATTTTAGTCAGATTAGACAACATTTAGTTGGATTAGACAACATTCTGGATTAACAATATTTTAGACAGATTAGACAACATTTTAGTCAGATTAGACATTTTAGATTAGACAATATTTTAGTCGGATCAGACACATTTTAGTTGGATTAGACAACATTTTGATCGGATCAGAAAATATTCTGGATTAACAACATTTTAGTCAGAATAGTCAATATTCTGGATTAACAACATTTTTGTTGGTTTAGACAACATTTTAGTCAGATAAGATAACATTTTAGTCAGATAAGATAACATTTTATTCGGATCAGACATTTTAATCGGATCAGACAACATTTTAGTCATATTAGACAACATTCTGGATTAACAACATTTTAGTCAGATTAGACAACATTTTAGTCAGATTAGACAACATTTTGGATTAACAACATTTTAGTCAGATTAGACAACATTTTAGTCGGATTAGACAACATTTAGTTGGATTAGACAATATTCTGGATTAACAACATTTTAGTCAGATTAGACAACATTTAAGTCAGATTAGGTAACATTCTGGATTAGACAACATTTTATAGTCAGTTGGAATAACTAATACTGAAAGGACCTAAAGCAATATGAGCTGCATTTTGGAGAAATTAATTTCGCTATTAAAATATGCTATTATGATAAATCTGGATGTAATACCATCATGTTTAATAAGACTGGTATAAAGAATTATTTTTGTTTCAGAAGAAAGATTTCTACAAAGGAATGCATAGTACATGTACTGTTTAAGAAATCAATATTGTACAGGAGGACAAAAATGTAATTTTGCTTCAATCAAAGCATATATTTAAATAGTTCTTCTTTCTGAAATATAAAGAATAGATATTTATACATGCTCTTTTTTCTGTCATTTAAATAGTTAATTACAATATTGCATCAAAAATTTTTGACATCAAAATTGCAGCTCATATTGCTTTAGTTAAGGTATACATCATATTACTAAGGCATGAATTGTCATATACAACATCCAGATAAGACATTTTCACTATCTATAAATACACTGTATTATATTTTAAAGGGATGTCTTTTCCCTGTGGACGTATCGGTATGTGACATTTATATAAAGTATCTATAGATATCTTTCTGATTCATCTCAATTAATGCAAGAATGGATCTTGAAACATTTAGGCAGCAATAATACATATATATTTTATTGTGTAAAAATCATTCATATTAATACTTGTAATGTATAATAATCATTTTTAATGTATTATAATCATTTTTAAAATAAACTTTAATATATTATCCCTGATATTTAGATGTCTTCTCAAGAAATAGCATAATCTGGAAACAACATAAAATAAATGAGATATTCTTTGTGCCTGTTCCAATTTATTTACTGCTTCGTCTTTTTCTGATTGAGAAGAAAATTATCTGATAACAGTTTGTTTATTGATGGCAGGTTTGGGAAGGAAAATTAATCAGAAATTAGGGGTAAAGGTGTTTAAATCAGTTTTAGAATAATGTCAGATTTATCACACAAGTCTAATTATCAAGTCATCTATCTTGTGTATGATATATCTTCAATAACGATCTGACCGTTTTATCATTTGCTTGTAAAAATGTCCGTTTAGAATAGTTAAGAGATAAATGTGTATTGATTGAAATCTTCAGGGGATATTTTTTGCGCACAAGGCTAATATAGATGTAATGTAAAAGAAGATAATTATAAAGAAAAAAAGATGAAGATCGAAGTTAACATGAAACAGAGTGACTGGAACTTCAGTATGATGATTGGGGGAGGGGTTAGTGGTTAAGAAATTATTGTATATGGAAGCGTGGTGATGCAGAGAACAGGCATAACTTAAAATAACCCAGTTTTATAGTCTTCTAATAACTGAGTATCTTGTTCAAGTTTATCATTATTTACATTTTCCTTTAAAAATTCTTTTTTTATTTTTCAGTGAAAAATATACTCGATTTTGTCAATGGAAGAACTTAGAGCTGAATATAGAGGTATGTTTTGGATCCCTGTAAGCTGCCTAAGCCTTTGCCGCCCACACGAGTTTTCTGCTGGCAACATATGCACGTTCAATTTTTTTCACATTTATTCCCCAGATGGCCTGTATATTGATGTCTCTTACTGAATAGGGAATCCAATTACTCTTTTATTTATTGTTAGGGATTTCTAAACTATCAAATCATCTTTTTTTTGTTTTATTATTTTTCCTATATTTATAAACCTTGTAAATACATGCATAGGACACAATGGATGAAAAAAATAAAGAAAAACAAAGACATTTGATTTCTTGGAAGCTACGTAGAATTGTTGCACATAAATAATGCATATATGTAATTGAGAATACTTTTTGAAGAATATGACTTATGAAAGAATAAGACATGAAAGTGAACTTTAAATTAGTAGCTGAAATTATGGTTTATAACACTGGCAACATATGCTTGTTCGTTACTGAAAGTTAATCCATTTTCCATGAAGGAAGTAGACTACATTAATGGTTTGAGGGATTATTTCTTCTACATTTTTATACCCCACGCAACTAGTTGCGGGAGGTATAAACTGGTCCGTTTTTTCACAGTCCGTCAGTAGTCCTCTTTTTTTGTCAGCGCAACTCCTCATAAACCGCTGCACAGAATTTCGTCAAACTTTGCAGGTATTTAGGACACAATGTGTAGATGTGCATATTACCAGGAAATTCCGATTCCTTTATTTTTTCCTGGAATTTCCACACTTTTAACTTAGGCATTTGGCCATACCTTGAATATAGAGATGAACAGTTTGTCAGCGCAACTCCTCATAAACCGCTGCGCAGAATTTCGTCAAACTTTGCAGGTATTTAGGACACAATGTGTAGATGTGCAAATTACCAGGAAATTCCGATTCCTTATTTTTTCCGGGAATTTCCGCACTTTTAACTTAGGCATTTGGCCATACCTTGAATATAGAGATGAACAGTTTGTCAGCGCAACTCCTCATAAACTGCTGCACAGAATTTCGTCAAACTTTGCAGATATTTAGGACACAATATGTAGATGTGCATATTACCAGGAAATTCCGATTCCTTTATTCCGCACTTTTAATAGGCAATACCTTGAATATAGAATGAACAGTTTGTCAGCACAACTCCTCATAAACCGCTGCACAGAATTTCGTCAAACTTTGCAGGTATTTAGGACACAATGTGTAGATGTGCATTTTACCAGGAAATTCCGGTTCCATTATTTTTTCCGGGAATTTCCGCACTTTTAACTTAGGCATTTGGCCATACCTTGAATATAGAGATGAACAGTTTGTCAGCGCAACTCCTCATAAACCGCTGCGCAGAATTTCGTCAAACTTTGCAGATATTTAGGACACAATGTGTAGAAAATTCCGATTCCATTATTTTTTCCGGGAATTTCTGCACTTTTAACTTAGGCATTTGGCCATACCTTGAATATAGAGATGAACAGTTTGTCAGCGCAACTCCTCATAAACCGCTGCGCAGAATTTCGTCAAACTTTGCAGATATTTAGGACACAATGTGTAGATGTGCAAATTACCAGGAAATTCCGATTCCATTATTTTTTCCGGGAATTTCTGCACTTTTAACTTAGGCATTTGGCCATACCTTGAATATAGAGATGAACAGTTTGTCAGCGCAACTCCTCATAAACCGCTGCACAGAATTTCGTTAAACTTTGCAGATATTTAGGACACAATATGTAGATGTGCATATTACCAGGAAATTCCGATTCCTTTATTTTTCCGGGAATTTCCACACTTTTCAACTTAGACTTTTTTGCCATATTTTGAATATAGAGATGAACAGTTTGTTAGCACCAATCCTCTTAAACTGTTGTACATAGTTTCGTCAACCTATGCTGATATTTAGGACATATTCCATTATTTTATCCCAAAGAGTTTTGCCTATTATTCAATAAAATTTCTCCCCCCCCCCCCCCCCCCCCCCCCACTTCAAATTAATGTGTGGATTTGTATATTGTCAAGAAATTTTGATTCCATAATTTATCTAGAAACATTCCACATTTAAATGTCCTCATACGCAAGACATTTTGATGTGAAGATTTTTTGCAATTATTGCCCTTTTTGATCTATACTATGTATTTAAATTGCACTGTGCCTTTCATTAAATGTGTTTCACTGTCAAGTTATGGGGGAGCGTGGGGTATGTGAGCTAGCTCACTTTTTCTTTCATTTTTAATGATTTCATTACATGTAAAATATTTAAAGAATTAAACTACACCAAGAAGCATGATTCCTAGAAATTGATTAGATTTATTGTTGCAAGAATAACTAAAATAGTTACGAATGAATTGTTGAAAGTTTGAATTCCTTAATGTAAGTTTAGGAAGCATCAACGTACATGAATAAACAGAAAAAAAAGAGGCTAATCAACAGATGCAACATTTCTCTTCATTTTTACTTCACAGTAGTAGAGCTACAGTTTTATCAGAGACTCCTAGTTCAACATTCTAAAAAGCAGTTTTTTTTGCAGCATTAATACATTATAATACTTGAACACCTCAACCACTTAAGAAAATTACACTGAGCAAAAATATGTCTGAGATTCTCACAGGCTTTTTTTGTACCGTTTTTGTTACGTAAACTGATATTACACAAATTGAGTTAGAATTGTACAGAAGATTTGGACACTGCAGTCCTGCTCTCATTTGAGCTCTTTATATTGGGTGTCATTTTCTGCAATGGTTATTCAATTAGGAGGGTAATCTGTGATTTCTCCAGTGGAGTTTTCTCCAATCAATACAAATTTGCTTCTGTATTCTATAATCGTCATTATTCTGCATATCTGAGGAACAAAATTACAATCATAGAAAGCCAGTGACAAATGACAGAGATTTGATCATCTCAAAAGTTTCGAATCAAATGGAAGCTAATGCTTTGAAGTCGGAATCAGAGCTACAGCTAAATGATACTTTAATACAATAAGTTGAGAGATAACAATCCAGTCTCTGATAAGAAGCATTGTGTAATTTCTAAACTAATTAGTAACCATTGGGCCCACAAAATACCATAGATCTGCTGCAGTGCAGGCCTAGCTAAAGTCAGGAGACCAGTAAATTTATCTTGTTCAGTGCAAACATGGATTTTTTGTTTGCATAAAGAAACAGACTGATATGATCAACAAAATATGCCCTTTCTCTTTATTTATGTAGTTTAGATTTGAAGGCTGCGAGTTTCTGTGCATGTTGCAGGAGACTTTCATCTTTAATGGGTTTTTTTTAAAATCAATCTCGTATTTGATTACACTGTTAATGAAAATGTTTTTTTCTTTTACTTTCAGTTAACAATGAATGACTTCAGTGTACATAGAATAATCGGCAGGGGAGGTTTTGGAGAAGTGTATGGATGTCGTAAAGCTGACACTGGTAAAATGTAAGTGTATGACAAAACAAAAAATGCATAGATGTGGTAAAGCTGACACTGGTAAAATGTAAGTGTAAGACAAAACAAAAAATGTATGGATGTCGTACTCGTAAAGCTGACACTGGTAAAATATAAGTATAAGACAATCAGAAAGTGTATGGATGTCGTAAACCTGACACTTAATTCATTTTAGATCATGACATCAAGGTGGTACTATGGAAATGTTGAAATTTGTACTACAAAATTCATTGAAATGATAACTTTTTGACTGCATTTTTTCACCAACATTAAATTTTTTTTCCACACTGTTTCAAATTTTACTGGATTACAACTTCTGTTCTGTCAGTTGGTAGAAAGTACATGTATATGGATTGCCCTTACACAGTTCAAATATTAAATTTCTGCAGACATTTTGTGATCACATTCATAGCCGAAAGCAATCCCATTCAGAAAAAAAATTAATCCTTAGTTTCTTTATCATAATTGGCAATCTTTGTGTAGAATTCAGTATTTTATTTTTGTGCTTATGAATCTCAAAAAGGATGTCTCCATGCAAATGTAGCAATTCACATCAAAAGTACTTGTAGTAGGAATAGCATTCTGTTATATTGTTTAGTGCTCCACGTACTGTACTGTTGTACTTCATTATCTTGGACATGAATATCTTGAATACAGTGGATATATTGAAGTATTTTTAAAGTCCCCATCACTTTTTCTCAAAGTACTTTACCCTCATTTTAAATCCTGGGATATCTGAAAGTTTTATCACATACACATCCAATTTAAGGAAACAAGGATTGACTGTATTTTATTGACCTTTTAAGCCAAATTTTGTTGTTTCATGTAGCAGATTAAGAGAAAGGTATGGTCTTGGGGTATGGTGACCTTATGATGAACTTTGACCTGAAAGTCTTAGGACATCAGTTGGGTTCACAAGTCAAACATAACATGCTGCCCCAATCTTCTCAAGAGATGTGTTAATTGGTTCCTTGTCTTATTGCAGATAGTGTTTTGATGTGTGAGTTTTGATTGGTTGATTTCTGTGGTTTGTCGCTGGTGTTTTTCGTGCATTCTGTGGCTTTCCCACAGGAATACAACAGAATTTGGCTTCAGACCATGGAATAAAAGCGTATCATTTCATTAATACCTCCAAGCCTATTAATGATATTGCTATTGCTAACGCTTCTCATTTTGGAGAAAACCAAATGAATATATTTCCTTCCTTTCCTCCTAATCTAATATTTTCATCAGGCATTCACTCCCCGATTTTCAGAAGATTTACCGATTTATTTCCATGACCACATGGTATAGGGGCTTGTTGATGAGATACCTAAAAACCCAGTTAGGACCGATTTGTACATGTGGTCATTTGGCTGGAGCGGGCATGTTTTTAGTTAGAACTGATCTCTACATGTAAAATAGCAGGGGAAGTTTTCTTTCAGCATTGTGGAGATAGTCAGTGATGTTCTCAAGCTCTTTTGCCTAAGGTTTCCAATGAGAATGAGATGCTTTATACATAGATATTGATTTTCAGTGTGTTTTGTCATCAACAGCTTTCTTCCCCTATTGACAGACATTACAGTCCAATACGCTAAAGAACTAGATTTTCTGTCTTCTTTTGTTGGAGCAGAGTTGTATTTTCCACTGTGTTGATCTGTAATTTTACTAGATTGGTAAACGATAAGTGAACATTCAGACTCTTTCTCAGTTCTTTTGTTAACTGCTTCATTGACATCCCAGGCCTAAAACAAACAAAAAAATGACATCGCTAAATTCATTATAACAGATATTACTTGCTGTAAAATCAGGAAATGGCTTAACTTTGAAAATAATACAAGGAATACTTTTTTTGTTTGTTCATTTATTCTTGTATGGTCAGGTCATTGTGGTCAGGTGGTGGTGGGATGAGGTGGAGGGATTTTTATTGATTTTGTTTCTTTTTAGCTCTACTCAAAGACTCATTTTCAGCCACAGATTTGTTAGAAACTTTTAAATTTACTAAGCTAAATTATGATTTTTTATGCACCATTTTATTGGAGATTTATGGGCATATTGTTTTTGGTCTGTCTGTTTGAATTCTTTAGTTTTGTCCACAACCTTTGAATGGTCGGAAGAAGGCTTCCATATTTCACTTATACCATTACATGTATTCCTTGTGACCATGAAAATCTTCCTTTTGGTACCAATATTTTTTGACCTCTTGACCTTGTGCAGTAGTTTGTTTTTCTTTTTGAAAAATTTTAACCTTATCAATAACTAATGAAAGGTTGGGCTAAAACTTTTTCATTTTACATGTGTATTCTTTCTGACAAGGTGTTTTCTTTGGGTAACGACAATTTTAACCTCTTGACCTAGGAATTTGACTTGCTTTTGAGCTTGAGCTGCCATTGTGGGAGGGGGTTCAGTATTTTACAAACATCTCTGATTTTTGTGTTAAAAAATGGCTTGTTTTTCTTTCTTTTTGTTTCAAAACTTTTGTTTTCTTTTTGGCTGAATATTACACATTTTGTTCATTGTTATTTTTTTGTTGTTGTAATTTTCTTCTTATTGTTCACATATATTGCTGGAAATCAGAAATAGCTGCTTTGCTCACAAGAGCTCAATTGCTCTTAAGCACTATGAGTTTCCAATATGAAATCCATTATTAATGAGAAATATCGATTTCACTGTTATTACAAAATATTATGAGGATGACAATAAATCAGGTATTTATATCTCTGCCAATGCAGCTATAGTTGGAAGAGACACTTATTAAGGTTTTCTTTACAGAAGCCTTTTGTCAGGGAAAGAAAGCAAGTATTAAAAAAAATTTCCTATAATTAGCCAACTATTCCATGCAAAAGTCCATTGTGCTTGTGTGAACTCTTTTCTCTTGCATTCATTCAATCCTTCATATGGTTAGCCTGTAAAATAGTTTATATAGTTACATCACTCAGAAGATATAGGTGTTTGTACAATGACTGAAAGGTTATTGGTGCATTGTCTTGGACTCTGTCCACCTAGCTGAAATGGCTACAGGCTTACACGGGAAGTTCAGTGCCATGGACTGGTGGGGGGTTGGGGGTGGGTCAATTAAATATGATACAGGTTTATGTTGGGAATTCACTGTGATGGACTACATGTAGTGTTCTATCGTTGGGGGTAAAGGGGGGGTCAATGATCCTCATCCGTTAAGCCCTAAGAAGGAAGATACTACCGCACATATGAACTATAATGGCTCCGAGAAAATTTTTATCTTAACTAAAGCTATTAATGAATTTTATTTTTGCATTATTTTGGTTTTGCAATAAAGGTTAAGGGTAGAGTTGTATTAATTCCTATGACATAATTTTCATATATTGTGCATATATTCTCTTTTTGAAGAGATATAACATTTTTTATTGCATTTCCTCAGTAATTGTATTTTGCTCTTGACATTTTTGTGGAATCATGCAAAAGGCAATCTTACTTACAAAATGGAATTGGGTTTTTTATTTATGGCCCAAACCATAAAACATTTTTTGAGCTGATTGTAATGAGGAACTAATTCCCTCATTGTTTAGACATATTAACATGGCAGTGAATATTTTATGAAGATAACTTTTACTTATTGACGATTTCTAATATGCTGATGTTTTATTTTTAGGTATGCAATGAAGTGTTTAGATAAGAAGAGGATTAAAATGAAGCAGGGCGAGACATTGGCTATCAATGAACGAATCATGTTATCCTTAGTTAGCACAGGGGTAGGTGTTACCATGGCAACAGTCCCGGAAATGGACTTAAAAATTGTGCGACTTACTGGTGTTGATTCTTTGTCATGCAATCATTCGCTGTAAAATCCTGTTCTGGTATTGATAAATTTTTAATGATCATTAAAACGCCTCTGAACGTGGAAGAGTTATTAATTGAAACTTGATGATCTTCTCTTGATGTTTACTGTAATAGTCCTTGAATACTGAGCAAATGTGTTGCTGATATGCACTGAGATAATCTCAAATAAATGTCAGCTTGCAGATTTAAAGAGTTCAAAACCCATGGGAGACTTTAACATTTAATCAAAAATGCATGTTTATATTACCGGTATTAATGTTAGCAAGTCCCATTGTGAGCTTTTACATTTATAGTGTGTCCCGCATGAGTGCTTCCACCACTTTTTAAATAATATGAAATTCTGATACACTTTGATTTGTTTTTAAAGAAAAAGGATATTTTTAGACAAAGTTTAAAATTTAATACTTGGTTTCATACAACTTAAAACGAACCAGTCCAGGGTGGAACAACTTTCAAAGTCTGCAGAATTGACTATGTAAATCTAACCAGTCATTGCTTTCAAGAGGGCAAGGGAGTTGTCATTATTTCCAGAGTTATTATCTGATACCAATAAATTGATTCTGAATGTGTATTACATCATTAAATTATTGATAGAAAGCTATATAAAATCATGAATAGTGATGGATCCCTTTCCAGAAGATTGACTATTTTGATATAGCTTAATCCCTTTGACCCAGAATTTATTGCCATGTCGACAGTATACTACTGAACACCAAGGTTCCATTCAGAACAGAAAGTTTTTTGGGAAAAAATGGTTATTGATCTTATTGATGTATTTTGATTTATTATGCAAAAATTGATGATGTAGGTATCATGGGACAGACCGTTGTCTCAGAATGTATATAGCTGATTTTATTATAACATTGAGATCGTCAACAAGTTTTGTGAAAGATATTGATTATCATTCATTTCAAACTTCAATATGAAATTATTTTACCAAAATATTTTTATTCTTTTACTACATGGTTAACAAAGCACATTAGTAATTGAAAAGGAATCTTTACATTTTGTATGAATTTTTCAAAAATTTAGGGAACGTTGCAATATGTAATTTAATTTTTCTATTCAGGAGGGGAGTCCATTTATAGTAAACATGACGTACGCCTTCCAGACGCCTGAGAAGCTGTGTTTTATTTTGGATCTGATGAATGGGGGGGACCTTCACTATCACTTGTCACAACATGGAGTCTTTAATGAGCGGGAAGTTCGATTTTATGCCTCAGAAGTTATACTTGGACTAGAGCACATGCACAATCGATTTGTAGTCTACAGAGACTTAAAGGTGAGGGAGTAATGATAAACTTTGGGTTTTTTTTTCTAACTGAAGACAGAAGATAGTAGTTTATGGTTTTGCATTCAAAAGTTGAGAGTTAAGATTGTACCTTCAGTCAGACAAAACACCAGGTAAGCAAATCAGGAAAATAGGTCTGAATATTTTTTGTCAAAGTAGATTGATATGAATAATCATATACAGTGGCAACTTATTAATCTGGTCACCTCTAAATGAAACTGTAAACGAAATATCACAAGCAACAAATGAAGATTTGAAATGGACTAGATATTCTGTATAAGTAGAATTTTTAGCTACACACAAATTTTAGTGATTCTTCTTTAAAAAATGGTATTTAATTTAAGCCAGAAGTAATTTTAATGATTTTGTGATGTTATGGAAGATAACAGTAACCTCAAAGGTATAAATAAATTGTTAGCGATGTCTAATTTTAGAGGACTCAACACCATCAGTAATAGGAGCAAAATTAAATCTTTGTTCAAATTTCTGCTTATAGCGTATTTTGGTAGTGCATGCAAAAACCTTTAAAAATTATAGAGAATATTAAAGCCTTGATTAGACATATAAATATGGAAGCATCCTCAAGTAGTATAATTTCAAATTTGTCAAATCATGACCCCAGGAGATAGGGTGGGGCTACAATGGACAATTTACATATAAACACATAGAATAAAGAATCAGCTGATGAAGAACAAGAAGGGCCATATTGTAAGCATTGGGGCCCATTGTCGTCTAATTTTGTCAAGATCTCTTTCCAAAGATATAATGATTTACTTTTTGTTATTATTGGGGTAAAGGTCATGTTAGAGTGGCAGATTTGTTCTACCAATTACTGACATTTTACTGATAAAATGCAACTTTCATCTTACTCGTTGATGTTCCAATGCACATGATTGGCAGTAATAAATGAGCTATATATAAAATGAAACTTGTGTAAACACTCTTCTTTCAGTAGTAAATTTAAAATAAGAATTACTGCATGAAGAAAATTAATTTCTAAAATAGATATTACTGATTATTTTGAGAGTTATTTTTTCATACTAAGCATTGTAATTTTTTGTGTGCAAATAAACTTATAACTATAGATTTAATGTCTTAAGTGGATTATTAAATGTGCAACAGTAGTACTATCTCAGAGATAAATCAGTTATGTATACATCTGCTTACATGATGACAGTACATAAAAACTGTAGTGTTTTATATGAGTTAGATAATATCCAGTTAAGGAGGCTAGGGGGTCACTTAATTATTTTGTTATTAACCACTAGATAAAACTTAAATTTTGGGATATGATATCTTAAGCTGTCAACTGTCATTTGGCAATGAAAAATTAATAAATTTTAGCTTTAAAATTTGATCATTTTATTATATGTTTATATGGAGCTTTTCTTCTAATGGAGATCAAAATAATCTAAAAATGGCCACGACCACCCAACCCCTTTAAGGATCTACCATAAATCTGGAAATTTTTGCTGTAGATAAATTTTTAGCACATTTGCGAGTTCATTGCATTCTTAAAAATATTTTTCTTAAAAAATAATTCAACAATAAGAAAATATAAACAAAGTAGTGGTCATTCGCAAAATTTTGAAACGTAAAAATTAATCAACAGGATTTTGACCCAGATTCGCAAAATAAAATCGACGTAAAAATTTCCAGATTTACGGTATTTTGCCTCTTGTCTTTTGTGACGGTTGAGTGGCTCTCGGCATACCCTGTCCTGCTTAGGTCCATAAGCATTTGATAATTTTGTTTTTAATGTTGGATTGCAGAATGTAAATTAGTTTTCTGAATGATTTTTTTCTCTGATGGCATTAGTTGGATATTGACTTAATATTTCTCCAGTGTAATGGAAACATTACGTTTTATAGGTCAAATCAATTGCAGGGGTCATGCAGTCTGAAAGTGGGCATCTCACATAGCTATGATTTAATTAGTAGAACTTTTAGTGGGTCAAGAGTTGGGATGAAAAACAGGCATTTCTTGGTTCTGACCATCAAACTTTAAACTGATAGTTGTCTTAAAAAAATAAAACAATATTACTTGCTTTCTGAAATATTAAACTCTGCAGAGCCTCCAAGGATCAATACGTGTAATTCCATTTCTTCAATTTGTTAAACATTCCTTTTTTTTTTCAAACATTTTTATGCTGTTCTTTTACATTTTTTATCAACATTTCATAACAAATTGTATATTTTTTTAGAATGCTTTAGATGTTATTATTAATCATGCTCTAAGAATAGTCAGCCATGTACCTTATATAATGTGAATTGTAAGTTGTGAAACATGCAATATTGGAAATAAAAGCCTTCATATATTATGATTCCTTATTGCCAGGTGACATGGATAGCTAATCCTTTCTTTTTTTGTCGTTTTTGTAGCCAGCCAATATTTTATTAGATGAAAATGGACATGTACGGATCTCAGATTTAGGTTTGGCCTGTGACTTTTCCAGAAAGAAACCTCATGCTAGTGTGTGAGTATAAAACAACATAAAGTACATGTCGTGTTTTGACATAATTCCTTTCCTTAGGAGCATATATACAGTTCTATACTATTCAACATTCAATGAACTGAACTTTGAATTTTCTAAATTCTAAATTTTTTTTGCTCTTCTTTTTTTCCCCCGTTTCCTTGATTGAAATATTATATGATTTTAGTGGGACGCATGGCTACATGGCCCCTGAGGTGCTAAACAAACAAATGCAGTATGATTCCAGTGCTGACTGGTTCTCCTTTGGATGTATGCTTTACAAGTTACTGAGGGGGTAAGGAACCAGTTCGCAATCATCTTGTCTCAGGAAACAGATTAATTGGTTCAGAATTCTAAAAATGATCATACAA